ATCTGACTCCTAGGACTGCAATTTTATAACCAACTGGCACAGAATTCCTCAGAACACAGCAATGGAGACAGCAAATGACTGTACATTTCCTCTTGTAAACCACTGTATTTGCTGCTGATACACGTTCAGTGTAGAAAATTAAAAGGATAATAAAATTACAAATAGCCCATGAAGACAAACAAGGTTCACTCACACTCACATATTAAAGGAATATTGACTGATCAGTCACATCACAGAATTTAAAAATATTAGTTGGGTTTCTGCCACAGAACTAAGTTTGTTTTTTTAAAGTTTTATTTATTTATTTATTTATTTATTTATTTATTTTTAGAGAACAAGAGGGTTGGAGAGGGGCAGAGAATGAGGCAGAGAGGGACTATCTCAAGCAGCCTCTGCACTGTCAGCATAGAGCCTGAAGTGGGACTCAACCCATGAACCATAAGATCATTACTGGAGCTGAGATCAAGAGTTGGACGCTTAACCAACTGAGCTATCTAGGTGCCCCCAGAACTAAGTTTTTAAAACTATTTTTAGGGGCACCTGGGTGGCACAACTGGTTAAGTGTCCAACTCTTGATCTCGGCCCAGGTCATGATCTTGCAGTTTGTGAGTTCAAGCCCTGCAATCAGGCTCTGTGCTGAAGGTGCTGAGCCTGCTTAGGATTCTGTCTCTCCTCTCCGTCCCTCCCCCGGTTGTGCATGCTCCCTCTCTCTCAAAATAAACAAACAAACTTAAAAAAATTTTTTTTTTGGTAGGGGCACTTGGGTGGCTCAGACCACTGAGCTTCTGACTCTCAGTTTCAGCTCAGGTCACGGTCTCATGGTTCATGGGTTCAAGCCCTGCCTCAAGTGTTTGAGCCCTGCCTCATGGAGCCTGCTTGGGATTCTGTGTCTCCCTCTCTCCGCCCCTTCCATGCTCGAGCACACGTATTCTCTCTCAAAAATAAATAAACATTTAAAACAAAAAAATTATAAAACCCATTTATGTAGATACACGAACACAGAATAATTTTAGAATGAAGTGAACTTTTAGTGCATACGGATCATTCCATAAAAAGAAAACCAATTGAGGGGCGCCTGGGTGGCTTAGTCGGTTAAGCGTCCAACTTTCGCTTAGGTCATGATCTCGCGGTTCGTGGGTTCGAGCCCCGCATCGGGCTCTGTGCTGACTTCCAGCTCAGAGCCTGGAGCCTGTTTCAGAATATGAAACACACTCTCTCTCTGACCCTCCCCTGCTCACGCTGTCTCTCTCTCTCTCTCTCCTAGAAATAAATAAAAAATATTAAAAAAAAAAAAAGGTTTAAAAAAAAAAAAGAAAAAGAAAACCAATTGAGATGGCATTTTCAGGGACATCACACATCTGGTGCCCTCAGGCACGTCCCTGTTTAGAGAGTGAGGTGCTGGACTCCATCTCTGCAGTCTCAGCTCCAAGGAGGCTCACAAGCATAGAAGGCACTCAACAAGACTACTGCAAACAGTGAGGAACAACAGAATCTAAACTACAGGTTGTTTGGTAATCTAATCCTTAAATCTTCCCAAGCTACTGATGACAGACTAGCTGCTAATCCCCTTCAGGGATGTCATTATTTGAGGGCTGGCCCTGGTATCACGATGGTACAGGTGCAGTAGCTCCCTGTCTTAAATTAGGGGTAGCGTTTTCATAAAATAGTACTATGACCATTTTTCAGCATCTTTGTCACTTATATTTAGGATACAGCTTGATGAGACACCTTTTATTTATCATCCTCCATACTCTCCAAACAGGCAGGCAGGGCAGGTACCATGGCCCCCACTTTAGGGAAGAGCCCTGTCTTGTCCTTTTCAGGAAGAAAGTCTAGCGCAGATTCTGCTGACCCACAGGAGGGATGTCTGCAGCCCAAGAATGCTGAGATCTAACTACCCAATCAGAACGGAAGAGTAAGCCTCTACAGGAACACCGTAGTTTCAACCACTATTCACAGAGGACCTAGACACTCACGAGGGCACCACCAAGAGCAAAAAGCCTCCTCTCCGCTTGTGCAAAGGCCTAGTCACCAAGCTGGATGCCAATCCCCAGAAGACACGGGGGGGGGGGGGGGCCGTCTCTTTACTGGAAAACAGGCTGCCAACATTGACTGAGACACTGTTTGCCGACAGCATTCCATACTCCAAATCTCGCACAGAGTGCTTCGTAGGAAGCGAAGGGATGTTTCGAGGGTGATTTCATTGGGTTTATCATGCTCATTTTATTCCCTTGGAAGCAAACTCCCATCTTAGATAAAACTCTATCTTATCACAACTGCCTAGCTCCATTGCAATTCAGTCATTTATTTAACAAACACCTGGTGAGAATCCACTACCCCCCAGGACCAATGTGTCACCTCACATTCAAGCTCTAAACATGCACCATCCAGCAGCCTGTTAGGGGATTCTGCGCGGTGGCGTCAGGCAGGTGGTTGCTACAGGAACCGGGACAAAAGGCCTAAATTCAAGTTCTGAGAATGAGCAAGGACTGCGGGGTGGCTCGCAAGTGAGTGCAGTGCCACCTCTGCAGAAGAACTCAAGGACAAAATGGCCAAAACGTAGACCACCTTAATTAACAGAACCAACCTTTAAAATGCACAGAAAATGCACTTATTCCGAATTAACAGGGGCCTGAGGTGAAGGGCTCCAGAGCCATTTAGGCACAGAGCAGGACTCAGCCTGCTTCTGTCACAGCATGCCAGCAATGAGACTCAGGCTGAGGCCTTCAGCTCACTTCATGTAGTTCTTCTAACGATTACTACCTCTCAATCCAATTAACCAACAAATGTCATCAAGTATTAAGACCAGCATGTGCGGGTTTTGGGGGAGGGGGAGGAGTAACCAAAGACAGAATTTCTAGAAACATTATTATCAGTTACAGGTCGTCTGACTTTAAATACTTCTCATTTTGAAATAACTTAAACTAGAAGTTGCAGAAAGGTTCTCAGGGCGGTCTCAAGCACTGGCTGTCCTTTCCCAAAGGGCAGGTGGCTGGCCAGAGGACCTCTATGTGCTCAGTCCTCGCCCACGATGACTTCCAGGCAACAGTCACTGTACTGCACAGGAACTGTTAAGCTCATCACTATCATTCATTCAACAAGCATTTCCTGGGGACATAGTATGTGCAGGCAACAGTTCTTTACACAAAACAGCCTCCCTGTGGATCTCCTCTCATAGTAAATTACTGAATATAATAAATACATTACACAAGTGCTGGAGAAAACTAAGGAAAGAGGGGAGGCAGGAAACAAGGTGGCGAGGTGAAGTTCTACGCAGGGTAGTCAGGGAGGGTCTGGCCTCGCCAAGGCATGAGGGTGAGGAAGTGAGTGTTCTGGGCAGACCGGAGGACACAGCAGATGACTTACCTAAGAGACTGGCAAGAAGGCCGCTGTGGCAGGGGACCAGAGGTAGGGGACTGGTCACAGAGGCGTGGGAGAGGCCCAGCAAGGGTTCCCTTGCAGAGGCCACACTGGCTCCACAGCCAAGGAGCCGGTCCCCCATTGAGGCCGTCTCCACCACACGCCCGAATGTCTGCTCACCACACAACCCCTAGGTGCTCTGCTTAGATCAGGACCAAGGGGGCCGGGCTCCGGGGGTCGCGCAATACACATCTCCCTCAGAGTCCTACACGGGTCGACAATGAGGAAGCACGTCGAGTGGTGGGGGCAAGGCCATCTGTACCACACACACAGGTCAGCCACACAGTCGGCCAGCCAGAACCAGCTCCTATAGCTCTTGGTTTGGCCACGTGCCACCCGGAGCTGCCCTGAGTCCCAGAACCCTGACACAGGGGAAAGGAGAATTGTGCACACTCAATTACAAAGTTTCCCGAAGCCCTTAAATCCTGGCTTCTAATTTCATTTCCATCCTGAAACTTAGCATGACATTTAACAAGAAAGAAGCAAATAAATGAACATAAAGTCTTAGACACGCTGGCTAGAGTTTTGCCTTTAGTCAACTATGTCAACAGCTGGGGCAATGTGGCTGTTTTTGTCATTAAGATTTTTTTTTAGACAGACAACTAAGTAAGGACATTCAAACATAGCATCTTTAGACCAAGACCAGCAAGTTAAAATGTCCCCTATCAGATCTAAAGCTGAAAAAAAAATAAAATTGAAACTTTTGCTTCCTTTTCCTGTATGACACAACCGAATGAACTGTGAGAAACAGTCTCTTGGGCACAGGAAAGAGCTCTTATCCAGTGCTCAAAACAGACAAGTTAGAACCTGAATGGATGAGTCCCTAATACTGTCTCCTCAAGAGTACAATACGAAGCACCTCGTAAAATAATGTCTTTGTAAAAGTGATTTAAAAAAACATGTTTTTTAACAAACCAAAAGATTTCAACCTAAAAGATTAACTTAGAGCACCTCAGGAACACCTTTCAATTCCCGGAGCTGTAGATATGATGCCCCGGGGACCGTCGTTAGCATCCTCCACCCCCCCCCCCCCCGGGAAGGAAAAGACCCTCAGGTCAGGTCAGTCATGGGGACAGTGGGGGCGGAGAATGGCCGCGCGCTGCCCGCGATCCGGCAGGAGGAGACGGACTGACGAAGCGCCGCGCAACCCAGGAGCCCCCACGGGACTGCGGCCCCACCTACCCACCCACATCTGAGCGCCGGCTGCCCCGAGAGACGCTGCGCGGTCGTCCCCGACGCCACCGCGGACCTGCGGCGGTACCCTGGCGCCGCTCGGCGGGCACAGACCCCTCGCGTGGCCCCCGGCGAGGGCGCGCGCGGGGCCGGGGCCGCTTGGTGGGCGCACCTTTCCGCCGGCTCCTCTTCCCAGGCCGCAGCGCCCACCCGCCCCGCCGCCAAGGCGAGCGCTCCAGGGAAGCTCCCCCCCGCTGCCGGCCCCCGCCCCGCGTCCCCGGCCTGGAGGGAGGGTCGCCGCCGCTTCCGGCTGCGGGCGCGCCGCCCCTCGCCCCGCGCAGACCCCCGCGGCCCGCGCCGCCTGCCCCGGCCTGACGGGAGGCCTGTCGGGCCCGCCGCGAGCTCACCTGTCCGCCCGCCCGCCCGCCCGCCGGTTCCGCGACTCCGCTCCTCAGCTCCGCGGCGCTGCTGGGCAGCCGGCCGACGCGCTCTTCCTCAGCCGCGGCTGAGTCTCGGGGACCCCGAGGGTCGTGGGGGGGGGGGGGGAAAGCGGCGGTGGCGGCGGCGGCAGCAGGGGCAGCGGTGGCAGAGGGCGCGGGAGCAGCACCGGCACAGGCGGCGGGGGCGCGCACGCTCACGCACGCTCACGCACGCACCCGCACCGGCGCGCGCGCCCCCGGAAGAACGTGGGCTCCGCGGGTCGAAGCCGCGGGCGGGGCAGGCGGCGCACGCGCCCAGAGCGCTAAGCGGAGGCTCCGCCCATGAGGGGCGGAGCCGCAAGGTGACAGCTACTGCTCCGGAACGCTGAGTGCGGGCCGAGCCTCGAGCGACAGCCCAGGGGCGGAGCCCAAGTGACAGCCCAGGAACGGAAGCTCCGGGAGCTGTGGGCGGAGCCTGCACTGCAGAGCCGGAAGCGCCGGCCACCGGGCAGGGGCGGGGCAGAGCCTGCGGGCGGAGCCTCTCGCCAGCGCCGTGGTGCTCAGGGGCGCGGGTAGGTGATGCGGTGAGACCCGCGGAAGGAGAGGTGTGCGGCCTTGTCTCGGCGCTGAGTATGCTCTTCCAAGAACGGGAGAGGGAGCTGGTAGATGACCCGGAGGCCGACGCCCCCCTTCCTCCGGCCACTGTTAGGGACTGACCTTTGCTCATCCCTGGAGCACCGAGATGGGGACTTCCTTCCTTCCTGCCCAACCAATGAGGTGCCGCCACCACTGTCGAGCCAACCCCCTAGAATCACCTTCAACCAGCGGCGTGGAAAAGCAGAAGCAGCGTTCACACACTTCCCTCCCCATCCAGGTAGGGCTCCTGCTCATTCTACTGACCACCTGGGAGGGGCGGCCTGCCTGTCACCTTTCCCTATCTTTCCCTGTGACCGTAAACAGTTCTACCATTTATTCAGTGCCTGCTCTGTGTCTGGTACACTGGCATGTGGCAGTTTTCATTCTAGAAGCCACCCAGACCTTTTCTGGTCTCTGCTTCTGCCTCCTCACTTCCACTCTTGCCCATGGGCCATTTTCCACTCAGCGGAGTTGTCTTTTATAAACGAGAAACTTGATGACATCCCAGGCTTCCTATGACCCTGAGTAAAATCCAGGCTCTTTGCCAACAAGCTCTGACCCCTCTCTACCTCTGCCCTCTTCTTACCCCTCTCTGCCGTCATGCTAGCTGTGGCAGAGAGCTCAGGAAGCCTCAATTGTACAACGTCAAGCAGGCAGTAAGAAAAGGCCTATGAAAACCAAGAAGCAGAAAAGCCAGATTAATACTCTCTATTGATTCAAGAGGATGAAAGATTCTGGGATAGAATCATAAGAGGAAGGAGGCAATAAAATGGACAAGTAGTGTTCAGCCTGTGCTGGAAGCTGCAAGAATGAATGAACCAGGCCTTAGTGAGTCCCTCTTTGATACAGTAGTTCCACGTTAGGGTTATTCTTCCTAAGAAAATGTTCTCAAATACAGAAAAAGGTGATGCTCTTAATGTTGTTACTTACAGTCGTGAACATGGAAAGTAAGCACACTCAGTGGAGCAATACAGCTGTTAAAAATGTACACAAAGGCTACGAAACAGCACAGAAAATTCTTGTGATAGTTCCTGAAAGTAAATGAGCAAGATGCGTGATCTAAAAAGTACATCACTATGAAGATGTCTGTAAATAAGCAGCCCAACCTGTTCAGAGAAATGACAGAAGATGCCTGTCGAATGCCGACAGTGGCTATGGTCAGGCCCTGTGCTTTCCAAGCCCTTGAATCTTGGCAGGCGGACCTCATTATCCTCACCCTGAGAGGGAACTGAGGCTTCAGAGAAGCAGGTGCTGTTGCTGCTCCCCAGCACCAGCCCTTCCCAAGCGTGTCCATGGCTCTACCCACCCCCCATTTGCTCTAGTCCTCCGAGCTCTCCAAGCTCATCTCACATGAGTCTGTTATTTAGGGGAATACCTTGTCTTTCCCTACAAACGGGATCGCAAAGCTCTTGAGGGCTGGGACCACAACAGATTCACTCTATCCCACGAAGCCTAACAGACCCTTACCCGCAAAACACTTAAATATTTAATCAGCGAAGACTACATGGAACCCACTTTCTTTCTTTTTTTTTTTTCAACGTTTATTCATTTTTGAAAGAGAGAGAGAGAGCATGAGCAAGGAAGGGGCAGAGAGGGAGACACTGAATCCGAAGCAGGCTCCAGGCTCTGAGCTGTCAGCACAGAGCCAGACGTGGGGCTCGAACTCACAAACTGTAAGATGATGACCTGAGCCGAAGCTGGAAGCCCAACTGACTGAGCCACTCGGGCGCCCCAGGGAACCCATTTTCAAAGTAAATGAAGATAAATGTTGACTGCAGGTAGCAGTGGTGCTTTTCCACCTTTCTATTGGCTCGCTGTCATACTGAGGTCCCGTGTGGGGGCTAGATCTCCTGCAACTTGGGAGTTACTCGCTTTCCCCACTATCACATCTGGAGCAAGCCTGCTCTCTGATCCCAAAGGGAAGTCCGAAACTCCCAGTAAAGGCACTTACCACTGGAAGCGCCCAGGACAGCTGGGGTAGACGCATCTGTCGCACCCGGGCAGAGCCTGAAGGAAGAGCGGGGCACAGAACATCGGGTACCATCTCTGAGTAAGGGAAAGAAACGAGAATACACTCACACCTGCTTGCCTTTTCGCGGAGACACGCAGGAGGAAAGTGGTGGGAAGGGCACCGGTGCAGAACTGGACCGTCTGACTTCTGAGTCTTGCAGATTTGCCTTGAAACGACGAACTCCTAACAAAGCAGTCCTCAAACTGCCCGAGGGTCACCTCACCAGAATCCCTGTGTGCACCCTGGGGCCTTCTGTGGCAGCTGACGCCTGCCAGCTCTGCTGTGAGGGCCCGTCACCCTGCCTCCTCTGTGCCGCCTCAATTCAAGGGAGCTTCCTTGGCAGTTGCTTTATTTGCTCAAGGCTGTCGCTTCCCTGTGTCTGTCTGCACAGTCCCACCTGTGGAGGGGGTCGTGAGGATGGGACAGCCATACCTGATGAGCAGGACTCTGATGACACCCACAGCCGCCTCAGTGACCTTCGTCTGCCTCAGGAGACTCAGGAAGAGCCCTGCACCTGACCAAGGGACACACGCAGCCCCCCCGCACCTCAGCAGCTCACACACCAGGCCCAGGCCCTTCCGTGGGGCAAATCCTCTCTAGTGCCTGGTCTGCAGCACTCTTGCTGCTCAGCCCTGACCCAACCTATAACCTGGCTGGCTCCTCTCAGCCTCCACACTCCCTCTCCTCAGACACCCCACAGGTTTGTCACCACAGTGTCTCTCATAGCACGTCCTGTTTTAATTCACAGGACTGAGGATTTGGGGTTTGTGTTTGAGCTAGGTCTGCTTCCCGCCAGCCCTCCCTAGGGTGTGGGCCCAGGACAACAGGGATCTCCTCTGTGGGTTTATCTGCCACTCTTTCCTCGTCTTCACGAATGAAGGAAGACTACCACACAAGTTGGCATGGGTTCTTCCCCAAAGGAATGCTTTATTGACAAATTACCCATTATTTACTTTAAAGATAAATGTTTCTACGCTTGCATCCTGCCTTCTTACCACATCCCATCTGAGATTCTAGCCCTGGAGGAAACCGCCCCCCAACGGTGTTCTTCCCATGGCACAAGCATGGACTGTACCCCGCCCCCCCCGCCCCCCCCCCCCCCCCCCCCCCGTGCTCACCCTGTGATTTCCGATGCTCGGTGCCTCCTTCAAGTGGAACAGCACTGTGTGTGCCTTTTTGTGACCGGCTTATCNCCCCCCCCCCCCCCCAGGGTGTCTGAAGTGAGCAGCAGACACTCGGGTTACCAGAGAGCACAGCACGGTCCACCAGCGCAGACCCCAAGTGCACACGGATGCCTGCACAGGAGAGGTCTCTGCCTGCTGAGAGCCAGTAAGGCACGGAGCTGCCCCTCCACAAACACCCCACAAATGGGGCTCTGAGAGGCTGCCGGGGTGCGGCAGCTTCAGAACGGGAATGAGATCTTTGTAGCTCCTGAGAAAAGGCGACAGCAGAGTTCCTGCTGACCTCCACGCAGGCCCCTCGGCTCCTCACTCGGCCCCAGCGTACAGCAGACAGGCAGTTGGAGCCCATGACCAGTAACACATCAGCCACCTGTGTGGGGCGTGCTGGCTTCTCTCTCTCCTGCCCCCCCTCCTGACCAAGGGAGGCCCAGGAGCCCTCTGGCCAGCAGGAGCTGCCCCAGTCCTTGAGAGGAGAGAGAAGCAAGCTTCATACACTGGGGTGAAGCGCATCAGCAAAATAAAACACACCAGTGATCCAGGCATGCTGCTCTGCGGGCTAGATGCAGAAGTCTACACAGTGCTCAGAACCCACTAAAGAACCCTTATTTTTATATATATAAAAACAGTATAAACAATCAAAGCATAAGGCGATGTAAGGCTTGTATTTCAGCTTGAGTCCAAAGAAATAATGTTTTCTAACTATGAGACTAAAGCTGCTTTGCTTAGCTTTAAATTTTTGAAAAACTCACTGCATTTAAAAAATAAAGAATTTGCTTTTGTTAAAGCTAGATCATTAGTGTAACAATTAGGCAGTTGCTGATAACCAGTTTCTTTTCTGGAAGGTTTCAGAAAATGGACAGTTTCCTGTTTAGCATTTGAAATAAAAACTGAAGATCAGGCAGGGCTCTCTGGATGAATCTTCCTTCTGTACATTCCTTCTCTAAGTTAGGGAAGGAGAGGTTTTAGGAAACACCACGTGTTTTATGCGCATCACTCTCCTGTCCTTCCACGTTCTCATAAACCAACCAGATTCCCTAAGGGCCCACTGTCCCGTCCACCCCGCAGCCCAGGACAGACGGCACAGTGGTCCTGCATCTACCCACTTCAGTGTAAAGCATCTGCGTACAAAACTGTGTTCTCTAACTCATGCGAGCGCAGCAGCCACGTCCACGTGTGAGCGGCACGACTGTCCTCAAAACCTGCTCCGCGCACTTGCCCGCGGCCTGGCCAGCTGCTCCGCTGCAGGGGTGCGGTTGTGGCGATGACGGGTGGGCTTGCACGTGCTCCGAGGCCGGGCAAAGCTGCGACGGACTTAGAAGGGCGTGTGGTCTGGCAGGTGCTTGTCGCCACTCCCCGTTGGGGAGGGAAGGTGGTCACTGCCATTCTCTCTGCCACCTACAACCTTAGACTACA